GGGGGGGTCAGTGTGTCTGCAGGGTGTCCAGTCCTGGTCCTGGGGGGGTCAGTGTGTCTGCAGGGTGTCCAGTCCTGGTCCTGGGGGGGGGTCAGGGTGTCTGCGGGTTTTCTAGGTGTCTTCCAAGCACCAGCCTCTGAAGAGCTGGGAGTAGCTCCTAAATTGGTCCCATGTTAAAGCCGATCAGCTGATAATTAAGATTACAAGGAGCTGAGCTGGAATGAAAACCTGCAGACACACCAGCCCTCCAGGACCAGAGCCACCTGTCCCTGCTCTACGGAGAAGCCACTGAGGCTCCGAATTGGGGAACTAAGGTATAAAAACAAAACCGCGGTTCCTGCAGGAGGGGGACACGCGCGTGGGGTTCAGAGCTGCGGCGTGCCCACTCCAGGCGGGCTCGGCGCGGTCGTGCCTTCAGATCGGCAACCCTCTAGAGCAAGAACCCATTCTGCCCCTCATCCGCCACCCCCCTGCCCAGGGTCCAAGCCGGGGCCCGGCCCTCAGAAGTCCAGGTCGTCCGAATCGGTGTTGCCTGCCGCCGGCGCCTCCTCCTGCTTCTCTCCCCACACGAACCTGTAGTTGTTCTCCAGCTCCTCCTGCCTCTTCTGCTCTCTGTACACCTCCTCCGTGCCGCCGGTCTGCGGAGGAAATAGAGGGGAGGCGTGGGCGGAGCTCGGCCGGCACAGCAAGGCGGCAGGGCTCCGGCTGCAGAGCAGCGCGAGGCGGTCCGGGTTTTACCGACTGCAGAACGTCGCCTCGTCAACGAATACAAAAACCAACAAGGGCCCCTTCCTGCGTGAACGGAGAACGTGAGTCTAAGGGGTCTCTTTGTGCCATAATGAAGCAAGCCTTCAGATCCCTATCCCAGCATGCAAGAGGCACAAGGCAGGCTGCACCCTGGCCAAGACGCCAGCCCATCCCAGGGCACACAGACGCACTAAGCGCCCATATATTTACACAATATGTGCAATTGTTGGGGGTGGGGGGGTAATAAATTCACAGGGTTGTTGTGTAGTTGTGCGGACTCCTGTAGGAGTGGTGGGAAGTGTAGTTCTATTTTTACGTTTACTTGTACCATTTCTACGTTTTGTACGTTTTTTTGTGTATGAAACAGAGCTGCTTCACTGCAAGACAAATTTCTAAGAAACTGAACAAAGTATGACTTTTGTAATATATGTGAGAAAAAAAATATCCCTCCCCCCCTCCACAATTTTAAAAGGCCACCACACACGGCAGAAAAAAAAAGCACCAGCCAACTAAAGCAAAGTTAGCTTTGTTGCCAATTGTTCAGAGGAGCATAGACATTTGGAAACCTCTTTTAGAAAATAAATATAAAAGTGATCCTGGCTGTGGGTAAGTGGTTAGCTGAAGAAGACCCCGCCCCCAGGCTGCAGGTGTATGTACAAGGCACACACAAGGATGACTTTAGAGCCTGTGCAAAGGAGGGTGTAATTGTTTGTTTTAGAAACATTAACAGTATATGCTAAAGGGATAGGAAAGAAAGAATTATTGACGCACCTCTCCTATATCAAAAATAATATACCCAGGCAGGTGTCTTTCCCACTGAATCAGGCAGGACTTACTTCTTATCACCTACACCCAGTTTCCATCTGGCAGCAGGCTTCCCATCAACCTCCCGGCTCATTTTAGAAAAGCCCTTATCCTAAATCAACCCTCTGGGCAGTTTCCCAGATAAAAAAAACAACATTGCAGTGGTTAGGTGGCCACGTAGTCTTAATCACTCAGCAGCAGGCGTGAGGGTCTGTGCTCACAGCTCTGTGGGATCAGCAGAGACAGTGAACTTCCTGGTTCTCCCTCTACACCCGTACCACTGGTGTAAAGCATCACTGTGCGTCAGGCCCTGTATGCGACAGAAGAGTGGTGGTGCTTGAGCCTGCTCCTTTTTGAGATTGGTGTTGTGCCACACAAACGCTCGGCTTCAAAGCTGAGATTTCATGGCTTTTTCTTCTGAACTAGGGAGTGGCCAGTCACTTTTTGGCACGCGCCCTCAAATTGGAACTAGCACCACAGAGAACATTCAATTCGATTCACTTGCACTTTGCTCCAGGGGGGTAACAGCAGCGCCTCACTTGGGATTCGAACCCACAACCTTCCAGTTAAGAGTCCAGAACCCTGCCCACTGCACAACGCTGCTGCTGTAGCGAAGACGAACCTGTTGGGGAGATTAACCCGTCACAGGTGCGCAGAAACGGACAACTGAGAGGCGGCAAACCCCGCAGTGCCTGATGGGACAGGCCCGAGCCCTCACCCTGATGTCACACAAGCAAGCAGGCCCGCCCAGCGTGTCGCCAGGGAGCCGAGAGAGGCCTGGCCACGGCAGCCCCAGTCTTTCCCGCAGGGCGCCTAGGCCCGGGCCTCGGGCAGCTCAGCCGCACGCGCTGAGGCGCGAGGCGAGGAGGCGCGGCCCCTCACCAGCAGGTTGATGAGAAGCTCGCGGAAGGACTTGGTGTCCTCCTCCGTCAGCCACTGGTCGCCCTCCTCCTCCACGCTCCTCCGCGTCAGGATCTTCACCTCGATCTTGCCTGCAAGAGAGCCACGCGTCACAGAGGCCGATCCCCCCGCGGGCTGCTTTCAGAGCCCCTCGAAAGTGCGGGGAGCCGTCCCAGCAGGAGAGAGGAGAGGGGGCGCCCCACTGCCCCAGCCGGGCGGTGCTCCCATCTTGCTTCTCAGCCTGGATGTCTGCCCCGAGGCCGGTGCAGCAGTACATGAATATGGAAATGGCTCATGGCAGGAGGGGTCAGTCACGCCCGGGGGACACGTTTGTTTTACCCTGCACTCCGAGTCTAAAACGTGTGAAGAGCGTACAAAAAAGGGGGCAAAAGGAAAACTGAATGAAAAGACCAAAGACAGATCTGCTCTACACGAGGACCCATGGGTAGAAAACCACTTGTCAAACAAAGGCAACTAAGGCGTTTACCTTCAAAGTCTGCTTCAAAGTAAACAAACAGATCTGCTCACGTACGACCTGCCGATCCTGCGGTCTCCCGCGTGACCGGGCAGCTTAGGATCAGAGTGACGGGGGCCAGACTCCTGGTGGCTGCTCTTGAGAATCTGTTACTTCTGTTCAAAATACCACCACCCTTCCCTGCAAGCCCATAGCACACAAGCTTCCTTTCTGTACCGGGTCTCTCGGAGAACGAGGACGAGCAGTCAGGGCAGGTAGGGTCTGGGCTGAGCTCCAAGGCTGGTATCTTTGCGGTCCCTTTTTGCATGTAAATTTCCATATTGGGGATCATTTTCTACAGGATTTGAATTGTTTTTCTTCAGTGCGCTGTAGTCCCATCCAGCCTCTCCACCAGTCCAGGATCTACCACCAGCACACCTCTGTCCCCACCATCAAAGCTGCAGTTATTAACTTCCAACGCCTGCCTGTGAAAGAGTCAACAATGCCACAGGAGGACCTTAAAGCTTATAGAGGAGCCCAGCAGCTGGGAAATCCAGAAATGGATTGAACTGCTGTGTATGGGAAGCTCTTACTGAGCTGATCTCGCCTAACCCTCTCCACCTCCTGAGATCTGGCGCTACTGCCGATTTAAACACCATATGTGCCCTGCAGGAGCAGATCTGGGTATCCATGGTGTAAAGTGATCCCAACCCTCCTTTATAATCGAGGCAAGAACAGGGAGAAAGACAGACTTCTTTACACAAAGAGTGATGGGAGTGTGGAACAAACCACCCAACCTTGCTGTCGAAGCCAAAACCCCGGTTTCCTTCTAGAAGCAACAGGATGAGATTCACGCGTCAATCAGCTATTAACGATCAGACAGGGCCAGATGGTCTCCGTTGGTCTGTAATCTTTTTCCCGCCACCGAGGAAGGTTAGAGAGAGAGAGGACACACCCGGCCACCAGCCCTCTCGAGCGTCGCCCCCGCCCCGCCCCCTCGACACCTGCCCCGCCCCTACCTTCTGCTTTCAGTCCGGCCTTCTCTAGCTGTTCCTTAACCACGTCTTTAATCTGCTGCATCTGGGGATCTCCATCTGCCAACTCCTGCACCTTCAACTGCCTCTCGGGGCTGCTGCCCGGCTTAAACTTAGTAACTCTGATCTGAACCTGGTCGTCGGCAGCTCCCTCTGCTGCGACAGACAAGACAAGAGGATGCCATTTACACAGTGAGCAGCAGGCAGGCAGGCAGGCCGAGAGACGGACAGCCCTCTCCTCCACCCCCAGAGGCTGGGCGGGCGGCCCTTCGACACTGAAGAGCGCCCCCCCCCCCTTCCCCTTTCGGGCGGAATAAGAGGGCTTTTAATCTCACGGCCTCGTGTCTCATCCCCGTGTCCCGGCTGTGGAGGGGGGAGGGCGAGATGGAGATGGGGATGGAACGATGGTGACCTGCAGACACAAAACAGACTAAACAAAAAAAAATCACGGGGCCCACAGGGCACGTGAGCACCTGCACACGTCTGGCCCGGGGAAACACGTCACGGAGGGCCGGTCGCAAATTCTGAAGCATGTGGAAATAACATGGAAGGAGGTAGCCAGAACATTTCTGACCACTTGAAGTGTCTGGTTATTTACCATTTTATCAGTTTACTGTCCACTTTATCCAGTTCAGGGTCACAGGGGAGCCAGAGTCTATCCCAGCAAGCAACGGACACAAGGCAGGATACTCCCTGGACAGGACGCCAGTCCATCTCGGGACAGACTCTCAAACAGGCTCACTCGGGGGGCGATTCCCCCAGAAACCAACTCATCTACCAGCAGGTGTTTGGACTGCGGGAGGAAACCCACAAACTCACCATGCTGGGCTTCTTCACATAACATTTCTATTTACCCCAGGTCTAAATGTACTCGATGAGCGAGGACGGATAAAAGCTACCGGGGGAAATCCTGCCTTTGGGCCCGGAGTTCAGGAATGTGAGCCCTGGACCACAAATCCGAGATCTGCTCCCAGTCTGGGCGCCATCCCCCCCACCCCCTCCGCGCTCTCTCTCCTGGCGCAGCCTCCTCACCTGGCTGTCGGGGTGCCAGGCTGGGGTCGCCCCGGGCTCGGTCAGCACCGGCGGCCTCCCCTGCCCCCGGCTCCTGCCCCTCCTTGTCCTCCAGCCGGTCCAGCAGCTTGTCCAGCGTGGTCTCCAGGGTCTTGGTGGCCTGGCCGTGGTCGAACTCCCCCTTGAGACCCTCCGCCTGCAGCTCCTGCTCAGCCTGGCCAGGACAGAAAGCAGCAGCAGCAGCAGCGCGTGTGAATGCAGGGCTCCCCCACAGCTGTACCCAGGGCCAGGGGCTCCCCTAAAACACAGGTTCTTACGCACATTTTGTCCCCAAAATTGGCATGCGTCTGTCAAGCCAATGGGGGTGCCATGCTAAAGGCTGGCACTGTCCCCCCCCCCCCCCCCCAATACGTGCCACACCTCGTCTATGATGTTGTCAAACGCCTTCTGCATCTCCTGCTTGACCTCCCCGATCCTGGAGGAGGGCAGGGAGAGGTCGGCCATCTCCTCCTCGAACTCCTGCAGGAGCTGCTCGTCCTCGTCCTCCTCCTCCCGCCTCTGTGCCTCCGCGCCCGCGGGACGGGCGCCCTGCTCCGCCCTCGCTCCCTCCTCGGCGACGGCAGCGGAGGCCTGCGCAGGGAACGAGGCCGCTGGATTTACACCGGAAAGAGAGCTGGCCGAGATCCGTGGCGCCGGGTTTCCTCGCACCCCTGGGCTCTCACGGGTCACGCCATCATCCAGAACAGCACAAGCCCAGCAGTATTACTGCCGTTCTCACATTCTGAAGCTCAGCTTACAAAACTCACCGCTGCACTGGCTGGCCAAAATATTAGAAACTTTGCAGTCTAATAAACAGACCCCTCCAGTAGGGGGCAGTGTGTGTATGTGTGTGGGGGGGGGTTGGGCTGGAAGAGAAGGAAACCGGCTCCCAGCACCTTCCCTGGCCAGAACAATCCCCAGACCTCACTCGTGCTGGAAACCAGTAGACCTGTCCAGTTCAGTTCTCACACACCACCACCCTCCTCACAACCCCAGCTGAAGGCTATCCTGCTGCAGGAATGGGATGGGATTATGCGCCGGAAACTTCAGATCCCTGAGGAATCCATCAAGCCACGCCCTGTCCTAACGGGTGCTGTAAGCTGCTACTAGGTGAGGGTTCTTAATATCTTGGCCTCCAAGATAATAAAGACTCTGAAGGGCTTCTGCAAAAAAGAGCTCAAGCCACTCTCCAGCTCACCAACTGGTCCAGGGAGCTGAAGGGCATCCCCTCCTGTACACAGGAAAATAAAGAGACCAGAATGGCAATACAGGCTGCCAAACAGTAGAAAGACAAAAATATCACCAATACTCCTCAATCCTGTCGCAGTACAAGTGTGCTACAGGCATCAAGAATTCTCTCCAAGCCTCCACTGGTGCCTGAACTGTCCTCATACAAGCTCCACACGGACAGCACCCCAGGTTCGGAATTGAACCCGAAGCCTCAGCGCTGTGAGGCAACAACGCTGACTGCTGTGCCACCTCGCTGCCCAGGTCTCACTGACCAGCGTCTCCTCAAACACCCTCCCGGCAGCTCGGGCTCGGCTGGACACGAGCAGCCAGCAGGCAGGGCTCTGTGGGGATGTGGAGAGCAGCTCGCAATGAGTGACCAGGAGCCCCTGGGTACCAGTCATCATGCTGGCCTGGTGTGGTCCAGGGCTCCCGGTCAGTCAGCAGGAGCTCTCGTCTCCCACCACAGAGCTGAAAGGACACTTTTCACACAACAGAGCACAGGGGCGTCGGGATCAGCCGCTGGACTGAAACGCACAGGACTGACCTGTGTTTCTGCAGGGAGGAGGAGGAAGACTCCAATAGAGAACAGCGGAAAGCTGTGTGGAAGGACACTTTCTGTCCAAGACTTTGAAGAGCAGTGCCTCTCGAGTCGGACAGACACGCAGGCATCAGCAATCACCAACAATTCCACTGCTCCCACCCACCCCCACAATCCTTTTCTAAAGCGTTGGTCATCGGACCGGGCCGGGCTGGGCCCAGCTGTGCTGCTCACCTTCCTGCTGCTCTCTTTGAGGTGGGCGATGAACTTCATCAGGTCGGAGGAGTCGGTGATGATCTTGAAGTTGAAATTCTCGGCCCCAGCGCCTGCCAGACAGGAGGATCTTTAAGGGCTGGGCTCCCCTGCGTTGGAGCAGGGTGACCCCGGGGTGGAGACAGCCGTGCCTCTCTCTGACCGCCCTGCCAGCACTGGGACGCCAGACACGGGGCACCCGCCGGTCAGGGTCTCTTCCCCACCCCCCCGCCCTGTAGGAGGCGCTCTGCCCACCATGTGCTACCAGACACGGGCGGCTCACACTGGGTCACAGGGCGCTGCCCAGCCTGGGCACTGGCACGTCTGCCAACTGAGCCACTCAGGACTTCGTACAGAGAAAAGAACTGACTAGGCTCGTTTATAAGTTCTCAACAACACTTAACAAGTGGCGAGATCAACTGCACACACCCCCTTATCTACTTAATCCTCTAAATTTGTATAATTAAAGAGAAAGTTACAAATATCTGTAGAATGCAAATAATTTTGGATACATTTTACAATCTCACTCACAGTGCATGGCAGAAGTAATTACCCAATATACCTCTCAAACAGGATCTGCGACTTAAAACAAATTTAATGCTTCGAAAGTGTCAGCAGACAGAAAGCTCATAGCCCCGGTTCTGCAGGGGGGAGAATATTTGTATTATTTTTATTTTATTCATCGGATTCTGACTTGTTTGTGGTGTCATTCTCACATTATCACAAACTAACAAAATTCAGGATCGAAAATGCAGCAGAGTTAAAGATTTGGACCCAACACATTCCTCATACGCCACCAGCACTACTAAATTTTATAATGTAACGTCACACAACTGGAGAGCGAAAGGTCCCTTAGGAGAGCCAATTAAGATCCGATACATGAATCGCTCCTTAAACGACAGCAGGAAATTATCCTGTGGTTCTCTGGGAGCCGGGCGGCAGATCCCAGCCACAGACACTATTCCAGATCATGGATCCTGGAATAACTGTGCATTATTAAGCAGGGTTATCCAAACCTGGGCCTGAGAGTCTGGAATCCAGCAGGCTTTCTCCGTCTCCTGACATGACAAACAGCTCTTCAACCGGGAATTGTTAACTCCTCCAGTTAAGGCTGAGCCTGGAACAATTTATCCCTTCCACTCTCCCTCCAGCAGGAGATAATGTTAAGAGACACCAAAATCCCAGAGGACTGGGAATTTGCAGTGGATACAGACAACAGCCGCCAGTTCTCAGCTGAATCGTAATCAAAAAGCAAAACCACAATTTTAACAAGGAGGCAGAAGAAGTTACTGACCTTCCTCTACAAAATCCTCCTCCGGGATCCGAGCGTCTGTGTCGTCTGCGCCTGCCTGAGAAGAGAGGGCATGATCACAATGATTTGGATACGGACTTCGCTGAAGCATCTAGAGCACTGCACCCCTAAAAAACAAGGGCTACAGGACTCGGATCATTAGAGATAACACTGTGACATTCGGACCAATCCACCCATCCAGCTTCTAACTTTATCCAGCACAGGGTCACTGGGGGGCTGGAGTCTCTCCCAACAAGCAACTCGCACAAATTCAGGAAACCCCCTGGAGAGGACACCAGTCCATCACAAGGCACACAAACACACTCACACCAGGGGCAGTCTTCCCAGAAGCCAATTAACCTACCAGCATGTCTTTGGACTGTGGGAGGAAACCCATGTGAATGTGGGGAGAACATGCAAACTCCACACAGACTGTAAACCCAGGTATTTAACCTAAGGGCCCCAGCCCAGCAAGGCAGCAATACTGACCACTGCACCACCGTGCTACTCTGATAATGTTGAAAGAGTAGAGATCAGGCTTTCCCAGTTACAGGGATCTTGCATGCCAGCAACAATATGCCACAACTAGTAAAACGAGACACGAACGCAACTGCAGTGCAGAGCTCGGCACTTTCCCCGATTTCTGCTCCTGGAGGAAGACGGAGTGAATTTGTTACCTGCTTGTCGTCGCTCACGGTGGCGCGGCTTGGCTTGGTTACGCCGTTCCAGAACTCAGCGTCCTCCAGATCTTCGATAGAGGAGTCCTCGGCGGCGCCAGCCGCTCCTGGTGAAAACAGACCCAGAGGTTAGACCCTGGGAGAAGACCTGGAGCATCCAGCAGGGGGCAGCAGTATTAACCTCAGGTCCCGCAGGCTTTCCGTTCCAACCAACTCCAAAGCCACACAGGTTACAGGAACTGAAGCTCTTTAGTCTTGAAAAAGAGAAGGATGCAAATGCTTGGGATACAAAATCTGTAAATCCTAAAAGCGTATGGGCACCGTTTGCCCAAATCAAGGCTTCAACTCCAACGGCGAAACAATGACTTCAGGGTGCAAGTGGAAGCTGCAGGGAAGTACGTATGAAACTGAGAACAGGAGGCATTTCTCTACACAAAGGGTGGTGGGGGTATGGAGCAAGCTGCCCAGGCTTGATGTTGGAGCAGATATCCTGGTTTCTTTCAAGAAAAGGCTAGATGATATCCTCAAGACACAGACGCACACTCACACTAAGGCCAGTTTTCAGGGAGTGAGCTTGGGCATCCCCAATGGGCTGTTAAGGGCTCAGCTGAAACAAAAACCTGGAGAGACACTCGACCTGCTGGATCTGGACTGCCCATCCCTGGTCTGCTGCCTGGGAGTGTGCTGGCAACTCAGATACAGAGTCATCCATAGACCCCACACCAGATTTCCCAAGGTTAATGCGAATTCTTCCACACGTCAACACCACACACCCACACAGAACCACCAGAAACACTCTGCCCATGGACTGGACCCGGAACCAGACCTGGTATGCAGGCCGACCAAGCCTGGGGGGCGCCACATTTAGCTCTGTAGAGACAGAGGGGAACTGTCACCTCCTGATCCAAGAAACTGGGCTTCTTCCCAGAAACCTGAGCGTTTTCAGCCCAGGGAATCCAACACTTTCTCGGCCTTCGATGGCATGCTCTCAGATCAGCACGCTCGCCCATGATCACCGCCCCCGCCCCCCGACCCTAACCCTCCAGTTCGAAGTCCAGCTCTGGCTCTCCGGCCTGGTCCGCGGCCTCGGGGGGATCGGCGCCACCCCCCGGCCGTGCCTCCTGCCCGTCCGCCTCCTCGTCCTTCGCCAGGATGTCATCCAGGTTCCTGAGCTCCTCCGAGATCTCGTCCACCTTGCGCTTGGTATCGGCTGCAGAGAGGAGCAGGGAGAGAGAGGAGACAGAGAGAGAGGGGTAGGGGGAGGGAGAGAGAGAGAGAGAGACAGGAGCAGAGAGAGTAAGGGGGGGGATAGAGGCAGAGACAGAGGGATGGGGCAGGAGCAGAGACAGAGAGAAGGAGGGGATAGGGGCAGGGAGAGAGAGAGACGGGAGCAGAGATGGAGAGAGAGGCTTGTTATAAAAACAAAACAAAGTAAGAGGTATTCCTGTATCCCAGCACTGTTTCCTTTGATAGAAAAAGAGCTCCGTTGGCATTGCTGTGCACCAGTACTGACAGGCAGGAACATTATTAGGTCGCCAAATGATTGTTCAGTTTAGGTCTCCAATACAACAATGCATGCAGCTGCTGTATAAAACAAAGGTCTACATTTCTCAGGTCTCATGAGTGAAGAGGATATCATGGCAGCCCGGGGGCAGCCGTGGTGCCTGAACAGGTCCTCCTCCCCCGCCCGTACTCACAGACTTGGGCCTTCACGTAGTCCATGTACTGCTCGGGGCTGAGGGCGGGCTGGCAGGTGATGCCCAGGGGCTTGGTGGCGGAGGGCGGGCGCAGGTAAGGGTGGTGGCAGGTCCGGGTGGTGTGGACGGTCAGCACGTAGCTGCAGGACTGCGGCTCGTCCACGCGGGCGATGTAGTCCCCCGAGCCCTCCTCGCACAGGAACTGCGGGAGCCCGGGACAGGGGGGCGTCACTGGGGCAGCAGGGTCTCACCCCAGCCCATGCCAGTGCAGCCAGCGCCTTCACTCTATGAAACTGCCATTAAGATCCTGGTTGTAGGGATGTCCTGGAACGGGGTGGACCGGAGCTCATTGGACAGACCTTCTGAGTCCAGCTCCCCATGTCCCAACCTTCTGGACTTGGATCTAATTGACCTCCACATTATCTGCCAATAAACTTGGGCAACCCGAGTGAAGTACCTTGCTCAAGGGCAGAACAGCAAGTGCTCGCCTCAGACTTGAACTCACAACACCTGGCACCCTTGTGACCCCCACACCCCCCCCTTGGTAAACAGAACATGCAAACTCCAAACAGAGGGTTATCAACTTTAGAAACGAACCCAGAACCCAACAGCTGTGAGGCAGCAGTGCTGACCCCCACAACACAGTGGGGTCCCACATCTCGTACAGAACAACGTTAACGAAACTGGGCGAGACTGAAGGTTAAAGTCAAAACCAGGACACTGCAGCGGTCTCTCACCCTGACTTCGGTCTCCCTGGGCTTGCCATTGAGGTCACACTTGGAGCCGTTGACGTAGGTCTGGCTGTGGTAGCGCTTCAGCCTGTGCTGCTTGGAGGCCTGCAAACAGAACCGCAGCACACAAGGGGCTGAGGAGGGGTCAATACTCAAGCAGGGGAGTCCAACAGCCCCAAGGCCTGGCGGTCTCCGGATATGGGGCCGTCTGAGCTCCAAGTGAAAAGCTGGCCTAATTAACCGCACCATCGTTAACACTTCTCACCAGGCCTGAAGGCAGCCGACAGGCTCACGGTTCGACTGCTCAGGCTGGATCAAAACCCAGAAGACACAGGCCCCTGCAGGAGGAGGGTCCGACACATAAACAGCTCTCTCTGTTCCAGACCCAAAAACAAAACCAGCTCAGTTGGGAAATGAGTCAGAGTTTGGGTTTGTTGACACGAGAGCTCAGCTGGATCTGAAAACACTGGGATCAGGAGAGCCCAGATTGATCAAGCCTGGACTAAGACGTTCTACAACATGCTTGGAAAATGATATCACTCTTCACAGAATATCAGACCCACATGTCTGTATATTATTTCTGAAAAGGGCATTTGCGATACATATAAATGTTAACTTATATCCATCCATTTTCTTCTTACTAACCACTTTATCCAGCACAGGGTCGCTAGGGAGCCAGAGAGCAAGGCAGGGTAGGGTACACCCTACATCACAGGGCAAACACACTCACACTCACACTCACACTCACACTCACACTCACACTCACACTCACACTCACACTCACACTCACACTCACACTCACACACGC